AGAGTGAAGAAGAGCATCAGCTGCTGTTGGGAACGAAATAATGTACTCCCTTGAAAAAAAAATCAAATAAAACAGCATTTAGCCCTTACAGTGCAGAGGCAGCCCCACTGCCAGGGTGCATTTTAACTCCACCCTAAGCTCAGCATTAAAATATGAATAAAAGCATGTAAAATAGACATGTACGATGAACATGCAATTATCACAATAATACAAAATTATTTTTTTTTTGCGATCGAGGTCCCGTATTGTACCTTGCTAACTTTTGATATTTTTGTAGAACAAGCCCTGACATTTTTCATACATCTTTCACACAACAGATTTTGTGTTTTAGGGCTCGTTCACATCATGGTGCAGAGATGTCAGTTTTTCTGCACACGTTCTGCGAGGACACAACGAAATCAATTGTTCTCTATGTGCCCTGTTCACACCACAACCCTAGTATCACATGCAGATTTTTTTTTCTGCGCAGGAATCTGCAACATGTAGAAAACTCATTGAAGGCACATGAAATCTGATGTCTCTGCAAGTGAAAGCTGCATGCATGGTGTGAACAAGACCTTAAGGAACTGGTCACCCAAACACACATGCTAGACATCCAGCTTTACACTGTGGTGCACTCTTTTTGTATCGTACCGTAGAATGATGATCATAAATAAGTTCCTGTCAATTTCTGCATGATATATCTATAGCATATAACTTGTACTCATGAACATATGTATACATACACCCAGATAAAAAGACAACTACAAATAACACAACGTCTCTCAGATTATTTAAATTGTACTACTTATGTCCTCTAGCTTTACAGGCAGACATCTTTCCAATAAACGGTAAGAAAAAAAAAGACAGTTACCTTCCCATTCTACTGGAATATTTCCAAATTCATATTTGTAAGTTTCTTTCTCCACCGGTTCTACTATTCTTTTCTCTCTAACTGCCTGACCTAAAAGAAGAAAAACAGAAGTATTTATGTACACAGCATGCAAACAAGTAAGGTATTGTGTTCTACAAGCATGTTAATTCACCAGCCACCTATGATAGACCAGAATATTCTGCACACTGGGAAAAAGAAAAAAAATAGGTAGCAAGAACACATAAAACCTGCTACAATTAAATCCCTGAAACACACAGTGGCGCCTTTCTATATACAGTTTATTTTGACTTAGGCTTCTTCTGAATGCCTATGTGGTACTTGTGAAAAGGAAAATGGTCTAAACAAGAGTCCATTATAGGTGTATGGAAGATTTATGATGCATGGTGTTTGAACACACAATTTGCGTTTATGGAATCCCAAAGGGCCAAGTTAAGTTAGCAGAAGCTAGGGAGAGTGAAGGCAATTCAGTTTATGGGTTATAGGGGACAATTATGAAAGTAGAAGTGTTGTTTCCTACAGACTCAAGTCTCTTAACACTACCAAACCAAGCAGCACCTGAAACGAGCAAACACAAGGTGGGAACTCACAAAAATACAGTGCCAAGTCTTGTAATAGTTGGGTTTAGGTGAAAATTGCAAAGCGTGAACAAGTCTTCTTTATCGCACACAATATATTTGAAAATCTCTGCTGCCACTTACTTTTCCATGCATTGGACTAGTCAGGGGAAATATAAAAGCTGTTCCTTGAGAAATACATCTCTAGCAATGATAAGCCTACCCATGTAGGGCTGGACTCGTGGCAACAATCGTAACCACTTCAATACCGGGCATTTTCACCCTCTTTCTGCACAGGAAATTTTTAGCTTTCAGCGCTGCTGCACCTTGAATGACAATTGAGCGGTCATGCAACACCGAACCCATATGACATTTGTATAATTTGTTTTTAGACAGATAAGAATTTTCTTTTGGTGGTATTTAATCACCACTGGGTTTTTTAATGCATGCACTGATGAGACTGCACTGATTACACTGTTCAACAAATTTTTATTTTTTGCCAGTTTTGGAAACAAAAGGATCCATTTCTTAATGAATTTCACATTCTGAGTTAAATATAACAATGAAATTTGTCAATTGGCTCTAGTTTTTCTGTAAACGGAAAGTTTTCTACTATAGGCGTAATGACTACATAATGCACAATAATTATATAGATAGATGTCTTTCCACAAATATAAAGCAAGTGATATTGACTACATAACAAAGCCTAAATGGCATAATATATTGCATAGGATTACCAAGAAAAATTATAGCCATAAGCTAAGTTGAATCATTTTAATACTTAGGATTCTCACTAGTTTTGTCTTCAGTTTGTGTCGGTTTTGCTTCTCTTGGCTTTTCTCTTGTATTCGAGGAAAGGGCTATCTCTTACAACTGCACGTGACTACACGCTTCAGGTTCTTCCTCACTTGACTCAACCACGAAGGATTCTGGTGCTTTAGGAATTGGTAGTCCCTCTCCATGAGGAACTGGACGTATTGCTGATGGAATATTTGGATAGTGCACAGATAACTTTTTCTTCTTATTTAGCCCTTTTACAATTGGAGGCACCATACAAAAGTAACAATTACTAACATGATCTGTTGGCTCTCTCCAAATCATTGGCACAGCGAAAGGCATAGATGCCTTTTTTCCATTCAACCATTGCTCCAGTGCCGTCCCTCAAGAATTGCAGCATATATGTGGTGCCCAGCTCTTGTCCTGGTCTCCTATCTTGCAGCCAAAATACAAGTTGTAGGCTTTCTTAATCATTCCTGTTACCCTCCTTTTTTGTGAGATAAAAGTTATTTCACCGCAGATATAGCAGAAATTATCTGCTTTATTCACACAAGTTCGAGGCATTACTGAGTAGCCTATATAAGCATAAAACTAAATGTAAAGACGCTGTCGAACTACAATCAGCTACAGATACTGCAGCTTTTATGCAGTGAAGTGATGCAATTAAAGGCTAATATTGCATCATCTCATATACATGCAATTTTCTATTGGTCACCAGTATCAATTGCGCAATATGCAACTGAAGTTGCATCATAATTTTGAATGGATTACGTCATTAGATGGGTGAATATATCATGGAAACTAGAGCCAATCAACATTTTTTAGGGTCATTTTCGTTTTCAGCACCCCAAAATTATGTAAGATTAGCTAATTTTATGCCCAAAACTTTTTACCTGTTGAACAGTGTTATCAGTGTAAATGTGTGCTTTCCTTTCCTCACACAGTCACATCGCGTGAGGAAAGGAAATGGCGATAACTGGCATTTGTTTACAAGGGACCAGCTGTGATTGGACACAGCTGATCACATGGTAAAGGGCCGCTGTGATTGGCCCTTTACTTCGATCTGTGATCAGCCGTATCACAGCAATCACAGAGCGCCCGATGCGCGCCCCTTGGTGCGCGGGGGGTGGGGTTCTGGGAGGACATCTATAGAAGTCCTCCCAGAACTAAATGACTGCACTGTAGCCTTCATTTGACTATGGCGCGGTCGGGAGATGGTTAAAAAGGTTCTAAAAGGTAAAACGTTTTTTACCTTAATGCATTCTCTGCAGTAAGGTAAAAAAAAAAAAACTTTTAATATGTTAGCTCCCTCCAGAGCTTTCCTCACTTCCAAATAGTTACCCGAGTCTAATCTCGATCCTGCGCTGTGCATATCTGCAGCAGGTCTGCTCCCTTTTTTCACAGTCTTGGCTAAGAGCTGCGGGAGCCTTTGGCTCTTGCTGCTGTCAGTCAAAGCCTGTGAGCAGACAGCGGGGGGAAGCGGGGCCCAGCCATGCTGTCTGTCAGAATAATCACACACAGCCTGGCTCAGGATAAAGCCCACAGGAGTGCCCCCATAGCACGTGGCCTGCTATGGAGGCACTTGGAAGGGAGAAGGAGACCAGAGCACCAATGGGGTACCCCAGAAGAGGAGATTTGGGGCTGCTCTGTGCAAACCAATTCACAGGGCAGGTAAGTACACAATGTTTGTTTTTTAAAAAGAAAAACTAAAAAAAGCTTTACAATCACATTAAAGACAACATATACTCTTAAAAGTAAATATCTGCTACTTTATCAGGAGCATGTAGAAAGGCTTATTTTGCCAAAATAATACCCTACCTATAAATCTACCTTTTGCCTTGAATTCATTTTGGAAAAATAGTAGCGTATGTGACGGTACTTGGACACTCCTGTATCCGTAGCCTTTTAACTGCATATCTGTAGCGTGAGTGTTGGCGGATGTCATTACAGTGCTGTTGTCCATCTGAGGACCTGCAGGAGAGGACATTGTACCCAAGGACCTACAATGCAAACATCTTCCTGTTTCTATTTCATTTACTCTGTGGATCTGTGCTTTCATCACTTCTCCACTGCTTCTTGATGATCCTCCTATCATCAAGGTGGCAGCTTTGACATCGGGAAGCAAAGCCTGGCTCCTGTGCCAAGATACCCACCTCTCCCCAAAGATAGTTATTGTATCACATAAAACAACATTTTTGCATTTTAATATATTCCGGTGTGGCGCTCCAATCTTCTGTCCCAACTATTACACAGCTTTATACTAGACCCAGTGATGTCAGTATGTCTGGTGGAAGGGCCTGGCAGGGTGCTGTACATAGCTTCCTGAAAACATCACAGTACCCTGCCTCTGTAGTCCTCTCAAATGCCCTCAGTCCTGATGCAAGCAGTGGGCTGGCTCATGGGAGTTATGAACAGTGGCTAAATGGTTAGCACTTCCGCCTGGCAGTACTAGGGTCGATGGTTCAAATCCCAACCATGGCACCACCTGCCTGGAGTTTGCATGTTCTCCCTGTGCCTGCTTGGGTTTCCTCCAGGTACTCCGGTTTCCTCCCACACACCAAAGACATGCTGGTAGGTAACTGGCTCCTGACTAAATTGGCCCTAGTATGTGTATGTATGAATGTAAGTTAGGGACCTTAGATTGTATGCCCCTTGAGGGTTAGGGACTTATGTGAATGTACAATATATATGTAAAGCGCTGTGTAAATGTATGGTGCTATATAAGTACCTGAAATAAATATCAAAATGCCATGACGGTTGGATGTCAGTCTGGAGGAACAGCCATTCCTGGGCAGGTTGCACAGTAACACGCCCATATGATGCTGAGCCTTCATGACTAAAACAACTGAAAGCCAATGATTGGGGCACAGAAGGAAAAAACTGAAAGGGGTTACAACCCTCCAAAAAAAAGTTTTGCCATTAGTTCTACGTTGAATTTGTAAACTAACTAAAAAAAATTGAAAATTGCTAACAGGTAGGCTTTTGAATGCAGATGAGATGAACAATATCTCTTCTGCAATAAAGTACACTTACCTGTCTCTGCGCAGTCCCCTGCAGAATGAACACTGAACTTGCTGCTCAATTTACATTCTGGCACACTGGCCAGGGTGCCAGGATGACTGCATTTCTGTGCATGTCCAGGAGTGACTACATTTTGTAGCAGTCAGACAGCTGAAGACCTACACCTGGAAGAAGCTGTGGAGAAGATGCCGGTGAGGTACCTCATGAGTATTAAACTGTTGGAACTAAGGCAATTATGTATGCCTGCAGTTTCGCTTTAAGTATGTGTGAAAGAAACAAAAATTTCACCTAAAAAAAAAAAAAAGCAATTGCAGAGCTGTAAAAAGATATGCATGATTAAGTTTGTGCAACTTAACTGAAAGAAATTGTAATAATTGTGGCTAACATAGAAATATCCCACAACAAAATGGTGCGACTGGTATAATTTGGCCTCTTTCACAAGCAAACCTTTACAAACACCATGCAGGTCTTACACTTTTGATCTCAAGGTTTTTGCTTCATATGGCTTTCAATGAACAATAAATGTCAATCCAAAATTCAATCTATAGTGAATCCTTATTCATCTAAGTTTTACAATGACCACCAGAGAAACAAAAAGGAGTGTACCTGGTCAGCAAAAAGTTTAACCTCCCTGGCGGTATTCCCGAGTGTAGCTCGGGGTAAAGTTTCAGTACCACAAGCGGTAACTCCGAGCTACACTCGGGAATATTATGCGGCGCTGCTCCATGATCCCTCAACCGCTTACCTTGTCCTGCGCTCCCGCGATGTCCCTCCTGCAGTGTCCCCAGCAATTTCCTCCGGCGGATGCCGGCATCTGTCTTCTGGGTTCTGTTCCCTGCAACGTCGGGACGTACGGGGAAGGAACGGCAGGAAATATTCAAAAATGACAAAAAGTGACATTCACTAAAATCACATAGTATACCATTCCTGTATCGAACCATTTCACATACATTTTGTCCCTAGTGCTTTGTCCTGTCCCCTGCCTGCATTTTTACTGTTCTTTCTGCCTGGAAACTGAGAAACGTCCATGGCATCCAAAAAGCGTCCCTTTAGGTCAAAAGCGGTTTTAGACCAGCTAGAGAACAGCGATAGTAAATTAGAACCACTTGCAGAATTGAGTGATAATGATTTGTGGGGAAATTCGTCATCAGACACTGAAAACGATTTTGCGACTTTGCTCAGTGATGTGCGAACTTGGCGCTATATTTCAAATTTCAGTGTTTTTGGTTTGATTATATTATTGAATTAAATTTATTATATTATTTTTATGATTTATTAAATTATAATTTATGATTTTGTGCTTCAAATTTTATCATACTTGGGATGTTTACTAGACTCTTGTTCGGACAGATTTCAGTGAGTTATTCCTAAAAATTACAGGCCTACAATAAAAAAAAAAAATCAAACATTTCCATGCAAAAAAATGGTACCGCTTTTAGCAAACACCAAAAATCTGAAATAATCATACCGCCAGGGAGGGTAAATAGGTGGTACATGTCAAGTAACATCCATGTGAATGGCAGGACCCAAGGTTTTCCAGCAGAACGTTCCTGAAAGAATCATACTGCCTCCGCTGGCTTGTCTTCTTCCCATACTCCATCTCTTCCCCAGGTAAGTGATGAACAGACACCCAGCCATTGGCATGATTTAACAAACCAGTGCTGCTCCTTCAATTGTTCCATGGTCCAGTTCTGATGCTCATGTGGACATTGTTGGCTGTGGACAAGGGACAGTATGGGTACCCTTATGCAGCCCCATACACAGCAAACTGTGATGCCTTGCTATTAAAAAGGCATCACCCACAGGTTGACAGCACATGTTCTCTGACGGAGGTCACTGGTGAGTCCAGACAGATAGCAAGAAAGAAAACAAGTACTTCTAAAGTAATCACTCAACTATGAGAGCATTGGGGGGAAAGGGGGGTCTAGGGGTACATACTGCACAGAAGGCTCCACTGCCCTCTGAGAAGTGAAAAAATTCTCTGCAGAAGAAAATAAGAGAAAAGATTGTTGGACATATGAGTGCGGGGGTTTGGGCTAGTTAGGATTGCAAAACCCCTCCTCATAACTGAAAGTGCCAGTGAGAGGGGCATAGCAGAGCTTTAGCACAGCTCCTGCTGTATAACAGGGGGTCCACTCAACTTCAGCAGTGAGGATGGCAAGCTCCGGCAGGGACCTCTGCACACACGCAACCATGAGAGGGGAGCTTTCTGTGAGCTGGCCTAGGGCGTAATAGAACCACACAGGGACAAAGGATAAATATTGGCACAGTACAAGAAAAGGGGTAGAAGGAAAACTTGAAGCAACAAAGCATTGCGGTATTTTACTGCACTCATGCCAATATGGGGGTATTTTGCAGTGTACACCAGGACATATCATACATAGGAGCGAGAAAACCCAGTGGATTGCTAATACAGTTTAGCAGGGGCTTTGATTTCTCCATTGAATATCATGCCTAGTAAACTTCAAGCATCTGCCCCTCCCTCACTGCCAGGTGAGCACTGTGTACATTACATACTCCTGACCAGGGACGGACTGACCATTTGGAAACTCGGGCACTGCCGGAGGGCCCGGGGTCAGTAGGGGGCCCCATGAGATGCCCCTGGTACCTTTTTCATAGGCTTTTTTGAGTTTGGGCAAGGACACAGGGGCCCCATGATCCCCTATTGCCCAGGGGCCCCATGAGTTGTCAGTCCGCCCCTGCTCCCGACCCCTGCACTGTTTACAATACATACACCTGACTCCTGTATTCTTGACAACTACATTTTGTTCATTGCATAATTTTTTACTCCTACACTCTATACATAGGCTTAGGTTTTAAGCCCCTACCACTGTTAGCAAAATTTTGTCACACCAGCATTTCACTGTGGTGCATTGTGTGTGCTGCCTCATTTTTCTCATTTTGGCATTTTTCTGCACTCACACCAATACTGTAAGGAATTTTGCAGTGACACCAATCCTGGGAGTTTATCATTGCAGTCACTGAAACCGATGCTGTAGGTTATTTCTTACAAAATATTCCTATTAATAATTGAGAATGTGAATTAGACATTTGGTTTTACATATCTGACACTCAAGTTCTTACAAAACTTTTCGGCACGCCAGGCTAAAAAGGTTGCCTGCCCCTGATGTGCACATTCCCCCAGAAACAGTTTAACAAATGCAAACAAAAAACATCACATTATTAAAGTAGAAGTCAGGAGGATACTGGCTTGACCTCTGGAGCTGAAGAAAGCCAAGAAGGTTTTAATGCTCCACTAGTTGAATAGAAGGTTGAGAACAGTGTTTCAGGGTACTGTTTGAAACATTTCTTTTTAAAAGGAGAAAATGGTAAAAATCCATCTAACAGTACTAAGTCAGCATTCCATTATTTTTTACCTTGGACTTATTTTCTATGCATTATTCATCTCCTCTATCAACCCCTTATCTTCTTTTTCTTGATACTTCAATCGAATGTCTCCTTTTGGCCCCACCAACTCTGATCAATTATGATATTCATTGTTTACAGAACAAAATGGCTACTTAACGTACCCTAACAAGATTGTAACTGCCAATCACGCAGCATGCTCCCTTACGGTAGTCTCAAGAGAAAAGGCAATGCATGCATGGAAAGCCTATTTTTTTAGTCTGAATTTCATCCAGATATATAAAAAAATGAATGCAGATATGTATTCATTAATACATCATTAAATGTGTTTTTTTTAAATGCCTGTTGGTGATCCTTCAAGATAAGATGGCCCTTTTTGAAAGGATATGGGACCCATGGATTAGATATCTGTTGAACACTCCATGACTTGGGATCATCTACCTGGTGCTGGTGATGGGGGCGTACCTCCACTTTCCCCCCCCCTTTTTTTTTCTTTGTTGTTGAGCTTATTGTTGACATATTATGTGGTGGGCCTTTATGCACCATCAGGTTGTTATTGTTGTGCTTTTACCTACGTCAGTTACACTGGAATGTGCCTAGATGTCTCCATTGATGGAAATGTTACGTTTTTCTTTTCCTCTCTTCCTCCCGTGTATTTCAGGGAGGGGTTTGTATTTTTTTTAATTACTAAAAACCTATTGAAAGAGAAATGTGTTTTTTTTTTTAATGCAACTAGTTTAAGCACCTAAATGTGTTTCATCTGCCACTTGTAATCTACTGTACAGCAGCACTAGGAGAGTGAGGGTCACTACTGGGAACAAATCAGGTGTGAGCATAAAAATATTCTAATTAGGAACAGAAGGAGAAAACAGAGGGATAACCTAATCAGATTTCTGCTGCTCTTTTACTGTCTAATCAGCTGACTAGGGGAGGGTAGGTAATACCACTGTATCCCTTAAATGTAAAGCAGGCCCTAGATGATACGATTTTCTTTCCTATAACTATGGGCTGCAGGAAAGAAAATCACTTGATTCCCCTACAACACAGCCAGTGTTGATGGGGGAATCCATCCCATAGAGCTACTGTGATCTCCCGGAGGGAGGTATCCCTGACAGGCAGTGTTAATTTGAATTAACACTATTTTTAGTCAATTAAAATAGGACTAAAACAATTCAGATGACTAAAATACAACTAAAACTAAGATGGCATTTTAGTCAAAAGACTGGCTAAAACTAAATCGAAATTTGATGTCAAAATTAACACTGGTTATATATCACAATGACTAAATCTGTGTCTGTAGTACATGCTCAAACCTTAATACCATAAATAATAACATGTTATTAGACTTTTTTTTACTCTAAGGAGTATATCATGAGTTTGAAAATTTTAGAGAAATGCTTAAATAATGCATTACAATTTAACTAAACCCATTAGATTTTAGCAGACTAAAATGATTTTTGTCGACTAAAATGTAGGAGATCTTAGTTGACTAAAATACGACTAAAACTAAAACAGTTCAGATAACTAAAATATGATTACAACTAAAATGGCATTTTAGTCAAAAAACTATGACTAAAACAAAATCAAAATTTGATGTCAAAATTAAGATTGCTGACAGCAGAACACAGTGATTATTTCTAGCGACTACACCCGCTGGCAATAACTGCAAACTAAAAATCAGATGGATCGACTGGAGTACAATAAGCCTGCCCATACATGGATCAAATCTCAACCAGTCCCTGCTGAAGCAACTGAGATTCGAACATCTATGATGTTGACCTGCCATAAATTCTTTGGCAGGTCAAAACAGCAACTTCATATACATTCCATGTGTATATTTTGCGGCTTGCCTGGAGTTCAGCATTAATACACAACACAGAGCAAGAGAAACTGCAGATACAGAATAGGAAATAATGTTAGGAAAATGGAACGCAAGTCTGACATTAATTATATGAAAATGAAATGGATAGGTGCTTAGCGAACATTTTTTTTTTCTTTCTGGGGTGAATTTCACGAATATCCTTATATTTTACAGTAGAGCATACATCAGTCTCATAATATAACCCCTAACATGTATCTAGCTTTCATGCCTCATATGGCAAATGGTTATGTATATTCATTCATCAATCTCAATATTTTATGTGGAAGGAAGAGAGGATGCAGTAAGACAAGCAGTAAGTCTTCCAAATACCTAGAGGAGACTCTAGGTATTTGTTCTTCAGAAAAGAGAAGATCTTAAGAAGATGGCTTTAGTGTATAATATTTACAATGAAAATTGCATTGCAAATTAGCAATGTTCAAATGGCTTTGAACAAGAAAGACTAACATGCACCCTTAAGGATTTAATATTCTCGAATGGATTAGAAAGAAATAATTTATCCGTCAGCAAAGGTCACATGAAGGAAAGCAGAAGATCAAAGCCAAGAAGACTTCTCATTGTCAGCTGGTTTGGGAGTCAGGCCCACAGGCACAAAGCCGCTGCCAGTACTGCACGGGGGCAACTTCAGTGACTGACTCAGGATCTATGCTTCAGCCATATCGCTGTGTATTGTAACGAGCCTGACGCTAATATTGCTGCTGGCATAGCTAGTTATTTTTTTCTACAAACTGTAAAGTCATTTTGGACATTTAAGTGGTTTTCCTTGGATTTTTTGATCTTGTTGGATCCTTCCTTACAAAAAGCATGGCAACAAGCCATCAGTTACTCACAATGGCCTATCTACCTAAACAGTCTCTCTCCAAGCAAAGTAGGGCAACTGACTTCCTTGTACTGCAAGAAGACAACTGGGAACACAAACTCATTTCTGTACTTAGTCTCTGCTGAAAACCATCTACCTCACTACAAATTTGTGCTCTGTGAACCTCATTCCTAGTCAGCTTAATAAATTCAATCCGCCTATTTAATCACAATGCTGCTGATGTCCCCATCCTCGTATGTCTCTACACAGCTACTGAGCCATTCTTTGCATGACAATGTTTGAAAAGCATTCTTTATCTGGTATATTTAGTGAATGCATTTTCGAAGACATGGCCAACTTTACCCAAACAGATGATGGGATTGGGGTGTCCTTCCTCAGTCATTCTGGCTGACTTTTAGCTCAGCAGCTGCCTCACAGGGGTCAAATCCTGCAGTTCAACCTGCTGGCAGCAAGTGGTAAATATGAATACTTGCGTGCAGGCAAATGCTCACCAGTGGAGAGAGATTTCTATAAAAATTCAATTTCCAATCAACTACTGAAGCCAATGTAAAATTCCAATCATGACGTCATCATGTCCAGTTTTCTTTGTAATGTAGAACAAACATCTGGGGGTTAAGTTGCAGGAGTAATTCATAACTTATGGAATGGGGTGGAGACACAACAGCAAAATCCAGATACTTCAAACAGAAAAGGCATTGTCTGCAGATGATTCAACCCACCAATGTCTACATAAAACTGAAAATTTTCAGTTGAGTTGTCCTTTAGGCCCCTTTCACACAGGGCAGATTCTGTTTTGAACAGCAGGAGATGCTGATCTGCTGCTGACTGCCCTCCGATCCAATCCACTAAGACGGAGGGGGACAGATCCCCTTCCATTTTTCTTTTAGTGGATCAGATCAGATTGGAGGTAGGTGGTCCATTGAGGGTGAATGAAAAAACTGAAAGTTGGACCTGATCAGACCCTTTGTTTGAAAGTGGCCTTAAAGTGGTTCTAAAGTCCTAAGGTTTTTTTTATATGCATTTTATGCATGAAAGTAGAAAAAAAAAAAAAAAAAAACTTGTGTGTAGCAGCACCCCCAGCCCCCCCTCCCAATACTTACCTGAGCCTCCTCTTGATCCAGCCATGTCCACGAGAGTCTCCTGATTGGCCGAAACAGCAGCAGAAGCCATTGGCACAGCCAGTGAGCCAATCAGGAGAGGGAGGGGATGGGGCCGAGCTGCGGCTCAGTGTGTGACAAGCAGAGCCGGTATGTATACCATGTTTGTTATTTTTTAAGAAAAAAAACCCCAGAAGACTTTAGTCTCACATTCAGGTTGGACATGATATTACATGACTGGAAATGTTCTAATATATATATATATATATATATATATATATATATATATATATATATGAACACAAGAACTTTTACAGTCAAATATATATACTAGACTGTATTTATTTATGGAATTTTCATACAGGCAACATTTTCTGGCTATATCTTAAATATAGAAGGGTGAAGCATGTGAATCATTTAGTGTAAAAGAAAAAAAAAGAAAAAAAAAAAAAAAAAAGAAGGTCAAGATCCTGCGCAACCATATGAAATTGAAAAATTTAAATGATATTTTCAAAAATGT